GCTATGTTTTCTAGAAAAAGAAACAAAAGTGTATTTAGTCCAATTCATGCCATTTATCCACACCACAATCCCCAACAAGCAGCATTTATGCTATTTGACGTTACATCGTTCATACATTTATGTAAAAGCATATCCTTTTTGTCCCAAAATTATAAATTAGTTTTTCTTGGCAGCGTGAAATTCCTAGCTTGCAGTACAACCAGTAACCATAGGTGTTTGAGGCACGTAATTTCGAGTTAGTTTCTTTGCACTCATTTCTATGCTTCATTTGGAAGTTTTTATCGTGTCCAACCGGGAAGACTATCCCAATTTGTAGCCCTAGAAATATGAGATCCATTAAGAATGGCTTAAACTTTTTATTTCTGAAATTAATCCTTCTTTGCAAATATTGCCCAAATCCACTTCATTTGCACAAAATTAAAGGAGTGTATTAAGTCCACTATCCTCCCCATTATCAGCTTGTTACATTTCTTACTAAACATACACACACACACACACATTGTTGTAATGTCCTAGGGCTGCATGAACAAAGCACCACAAGTGGGTGGCTTAAACAACAGAAATGTATTGTCTTGCAGCTCTGGGGGCCAGAATTCCAAGATCAAGGTCTTGGTCTGGATTGGTTCCTACTGAGAAATGTAAGGGAGAAACTGTTCCATTCTCTCCTCCAGCTTCCAGTGGTTTGCTGGCAGTCTCGGGCGTTTCCTGGCTTGTAGAAGCATCATCTTGTCTCTGCCTCTGTAGTCACATGACATTCTCCCTGTGTGTGTGTGAGTCTGTGTCCAAATTTCTCCTTTGTATGAAGACATCAGTCATATTGTACTGGGCTCAGCCCACTCCAGTGTGACAACTAATTCTATCTGCAACCACTCTATTTCCAAATAAGGTCATAGTCTGAGGTCCTGGGGGTTAGGACTTCCTCATATTAATTTTAGGGGGACACAATACAAGGTACAACACATTCATACACATGTGCACATGTGTTGTATTTATTCCTATAAAAAGATATGAGGTCAGATCTTGCTTTTGCGATCACACTGCCCTCTTGCTGTAAACATCAGCTTGCACATATGCTTCTCTCACACAGTAACCTTTCTCCGAGTGCCTTTATATGTTTGGTGTACACCAGCGCCTGCCTCAGTCTCTCTGACTCTGGGTAACATTCCGCTGAGGGACTGGACTACCCCCTGCTAGCAAGTCCTGGCTGAAGCACATTAGGGTCCTTCCCAGTGTCACAGCCCCAGCTACAAATGTCCTGGACCCGCTGTCTGAAGCCCATGGACTGCTTTGCCAGGGGAAGCAGGAAGTCATGAAATTGATGGGTTGTGGCCCTTGCCATTGAAAACTTTAATGCTTATTTGCCAACTTGGGGTGGTTCGACTCTTCTCCACCCTCAGGAAGAGTCAGGGAGTAGGCAGCGCTCCTAGAATGTCCCAGCCCTCCTGGGGTTTTATCGCAGAATGAATTCATTACAGGGGATCACATTAAGGAGGTTGAAAGGCTGAGAATGGAAAAGGGAAGCACAGGGGTAGCAGGTGCTGAAATGAAGATCTCAAGCGTCTGAGGAGAGAACACCCACAGACACTCAGGGACAAAGTGCTGAGCCCAGCTGTGTGGCTTGAGCAACTAACCAAAGCTTTCTGTGCCTCGGTTTGACCCTCTGTGGATTGGGAGAATAATGACATCAAGAAGGCAGTGAGGTCATTGGAAGGACTGAATGAGTTTAACTCAGGCTTGACGCTCAGAATGAGGCCTGACTGGTTTCTGCTACATAAAGTGTTAGCTATTCTTGTCCATCAAAAATCAAACCAAGAATTTTCTAGTGCAGGGGGTTCCCACCAGGGACGATTCAGCCCCGCATGGGACACTGGACCTTGTCTAGAGACTTTTCTTGGTTCTCATGACTGGGAGAAAGGGATGCTCCTGGCATCGAGTGGGGGGAGGCTAGGGATGTGACAATGCACAGGACAGCTGCCTATGACAAAAAATGATCTAATGTCATGTGCCCACCCCCCAGCCACCCTGTGATCTAAGGACGTTTGTGCTCAGCCTCAAAATCCTCCTCCTTCCTCTTTCTCCTCCACGCCCAGCCCTGATCATCCTGGGCCTGGGTCAGAGAGAGAAGATTAAAGGAAACCTCCCCCCACTTCTCAGGTCCGAGGCTAGACTGGCGCCATCAGGACATCAGATTTCTGGCCAGGGGAGGGGGGACGCAGGTCTGGCGCCAGCGGGCAGCTGGGAACGCTCTGGGGATATGGAACGCTGTCCCCAAGCCTGTCTGCTTGTCCTGTTCCAACGCTGGGCTTTCATCTCTCCTTCCAAACCTCCCTCCCTCTAGGCAGAGCCTTGTCTGATCTTCCTGGCAAATCGGATCCCCCCTTTAGTCCGGGCATGTAGGCCCTCCACTGCCTGCCAAACCTGCAGCTGAGACCTGCCCTGGAATAAACGGCCCTACCTCCACCCCACCCCCATAGGACTTTTTTTCTGAGCCCCGCCCCCCATTTTCTCTCAAAACCCTACCTTAGATCCTTGGTGGCCTAAAGTCCTGACTCCTTTTCTGCCACTCAATCGCCATTCCAGGTCTCATTTGTTTAGCCAAAGCCCTGACCATGGGGGACTGGGAGGCTCTAGCTCTGTCCTTGTTTCTCAGACTGGGACCTCCAAATCTTTAGGGCCCCAGCATTGCTCGACATAAGGCCAGACCCACCGAGTGAATGACTCCATGAATAAATGAATGAATAAATGAGTGACATGACTCCGGGGCAGCTCCCCAGCTGGGCTCCAGTGTGCGGGAAAGCCTTGTTCCTGCCTTCCCCGCAGTCAGGGCCAAGAAATAGCTGGCTCCAACAGGACCAGAGCCCAGAGATGTGTCAGGGCTGCCCGCTCTCGCTGGTGCTTTGTCTGCCCCAAGGGGCTGCCAAGGATGACCCCTGGGTTCCTGTCCCACCCAGGAAGTTGATAGGAGAGTGAACACTGAGCCATCATTTCCTTTTCAGGTGGACCCTCCACTGCTGGGGAATAAATATAACTCAGAGATATTGACCGCATGTTGCTCAGCCCTCTGGCAACAGACACTTGTCTGAGCCTCAGTTTCCTCATCTGGAAAATGGGCATGAAGTGATATAAAATCTCCTATGGGTGTCATAGGATGAAAGGAGGTGAGGAATGGAAATAAAAAGCTTAAGCTAGTAGTTTCAGAAGTCGCCTTTCATTTCTCTTGGTGAAATCTAAAGGGAGTCTGACTTGCAGGAAGGAAAACATTGAGGTTCTTATCTTTCCTTATCCCTTTATCTCCCTTTATCTCCTCCAAAGCGGTCTAGGCTTATCTCCCCTCTTCTCTTGCTATTCTCTCTCTCTCTCTCTCTCTCCAGCCTCCATGACCCCACCTACACCCATTTTTCAGGCTTCTTTCCATGAAAGAGTGTATATTTTGGTGGATGGTCTATGTTAGTATGGAGGCTGGTCTGGGCACCATTTGGGTTGCCTGAACCTCAAGTTCCTCAAGTTTTAAGTCCTATTTCCCAGTTTCAGTCTGAAGTTCTGATTCCCTGCCTGTATGTTCACCATTCAATTATTTGAGAGATATTTATTTTTATTTTAATTAAATTTATTGAGGTAAAAGTAGTGAATAACATTATGTAAATACTAAGTGTACAACTTTATAATCCAACATCTATGTACTCCATTGTGCACTCACCACCAAAGTCTAGTCTCCTCCCCTCACCATGTATTTTACCTTCTTTACCTTCTTTGCCCTCCCCCAATAGCCTTCCCTCTGGTGACTACCATTCTGTTGTCTCAGATATCTCTTGAGCTCCTACCATGTGCCAGGCATTGCTGGGGACAATGCAATGACTAAAACTGCCCTGATCCCAGCCTGTATATGCATCATAATCCAGTGGGGACGAGAGTTACGGCCAGGGCGGGGAGAGAGCCGATGTCAGGGTTGCAATGGGGTAGACCAGGGCACTGTGGGAGCCCAGAGTAATAACTGTCAGGGACCAGCGGGTGCTGAGAACTTTCTAGCTAAGAATATGAACAGCTAACACTTCTATCACTGTTAATATATATTATACCCGTTCTAGAGCTGGGGAGACTGAGGCCCCACGAAGTTAATGGGCTTGTCCCAGCTAGATCAGCTAGGAGGGGTACTGGTCTGGACCCCATGATTCTGGCCATGCAGGTTTAAAACCACCGCTGGAGGAGCCCTGGAGACCAGGACAGGGTTGGTGGTGGGGGAACTACACGCAACGTTTGTTCGAACTTGAAACCGCTTGTGTAGTAACCTAGTGGCGGGGAAGGGGGAGGGGACAGTTGGGGGTGGGGTGGCTACCCAACTGCATACATCTGACTTGCTGTCAGGTGAGCGTAGTGCGCTCCTGAGTCCCCTCTCTGCTCTTTGGGTGTGTTTCTGGACTGTGAAATAGAAGAAACTTGCTCCACCTTCTGCCCAGCTGGATGAGAAAATCCACCTGGGGCGCTTGGCACAGTCAACGCTCATTAAATGCCAGCTGGTGTTGTTATGATGATTATTCCCATTATTATCCTTAATAACTAATTAATTAGAACTAAAGAGTCCACTTTGCGTCCAATTGGGTCTCTCCCGGCCGAGAAGTCACCGGACCCCATGGAGAGGCGAGCTGGGGCTCAGACGTCCCCGTAACCCATGACTCAGCCCACCCCGTTCCCTCCAGCCCACATTAGGCCTTGTAGAGCTGCGAGCAGGCTGCTGTGGGGAGGACCTGGCAGCCGGAGTCTGGATTAGGGGCGACCCTTGCGGCACCCCCAATTTCCGTGGTGAAGGGTCCCGCAAACTCCAAGAGATCTTAGTGCGCTAGGACCACGCGGCTCTGTCGGCGCCGGGTACGGAGGCCAGACTAACCCCGAGACCACACCCATTTCCCTGAGGATTGGCTTTTCCGCACCGGCACGCGGCCCGGATTGGCGAAGGAGGCCGCTGCTCCCGAGTTGCCCCGCCCCACCCCGCCCTGCTTAGTCTGTAGATTAGGGTTCAGAAGGTTCACCGGCCCCGCGGCAGCAGGCGCGCCCGGCGGCGTGGACAGGGTGGAAGAGGTCTGTGTCCAGGAGAGAGGAGCGCCAACGTCCGGTTCTGGGGCCCCGTTTGCGACGCGCCCGACAGCTCAGCCCGAGCCCGGAGCGCCGTCATGGGCCCGGGGCCCCCGGCGAACGGAGCGGGGGCGCCCCCGCGGCCGCTGTCCTTGACGGCTCGACTGAGCTACGCCGTGGGCCACTTCCTCAACGACCTGTGTGCGTCCATGTGGTTCACCTACCTGCTGCTCTACCTGCACTCAGTGCGCGCCTACAGCTCACGCGGCGCTGGCGTCCTGCTACTGCTTGGTCAGGTGGCCGACGGACTCTGCACGCCCCTCGTGGGCTACGAGGCCGACCGTGCCGCTGGCTGCTGCGCGCGCTACGGGCCGCGCAAGGCCTGGCACCTGGTTGGTAAGTCGCGGCGCAGCCGTCCCTATACATCTGCCTGCCTAGTGCTCCCGGTGGCCTGAGCTTCCCCCTCTATGTCTGCTCCAGGACCTGAGCCAACCCCCTCTGCTTAACTGCCCTGTCCCCCTTCCGTCTCTGTTCTATGGCCTGAACCTGCGCCGTTGTCTGCCGAATGTCCTGAGTACCCCCACCTCTGTCTGCCTCATGGCTGCTGTCTGACCTGCCAAGCCCCCTTCATCTGACTGTTGCTGTTTCTCTCCAGTTTCTCTTCCCTTTGTCTCTCTGACCCCTGGGGGGTTTCCCAAACCATCTTCGGGTTGGGTCTGACTGCCCAGAGCCTCCTCTGTCAGTCTGTCTTGTCTGGCTTGACCTCTCCACCTCTTTATCAGGGTGACCACCATGACAACTAGGTCTGAGTGAGGGTCAGACTGTCTAGAGTCCACTCTGGCAACCCCTTCCCCCATCTCAGACAACCTGGTGCTTTGGTGTTTTGGGGAAGCTGCCCTGGCAGCTGAGAGTTGGGGGCAGGTGAGACAGAAGGGTTGGGGATCTATGCCTGACTAATGGGAATGGAGTCTGCAGAGCAGGTAAAGGGGTTGCCCTCTGGCCTGGGGCCTTTGCCTGCCTAGAGGGCTGTCAGGGAGGGTAGGGGGCAGGGGTGCCCTGCCCAGTGAGCACCGATGATAAGGCCTGCATCCACACGTCCCTTCTCTCCCGCCCAGGCCCTGGGCTTTGAGATTAGCCCTGGCCACTTTCCCTGCTGTTCCTGCCCTGGCAGGAGTGCCCACATCCTGGCATTGGGGGCCTACCTGGCATTTCAGGAGGCAGGGCCAGGAATCCTGCCACTCAGGGAATTACGGATGGCAGATTTCTAGAAGGCTGGAAGGGACGGCTGGTGTCTTCTTGTCCTTGGGAACCATTACTGGGGAGACAGTTATTTCCCCTGGGCCTCGTGAGTGACATTTTTTGCATGGCACAGCAGGTCTCTTAGTGGCCTGAGGGTGGCTGGCGTCACTGCAGCCACATCCCAGGCTGGATTTCAGGTTTGTCAGGTACTCAGGACAGGACATTGCCTTTGGGGTTTTGATGGATGAATAGGAGTGTGTGTATGTGTGTGTTGGAGAGTGACATTCCAAGTAGTTGAAAGGGCTTGTGCAAAGGTATGAACCATTGTGACTTTAAAGATGCTGAGGTGAGAAGTAGCTCAGAGTAGTAGGAGCTCCCACTTTCACACATTAACTCTCAATTCTCACATATACCTCAGGAAGCAGGTATTTCCATCTTCTCCATTTTCTAGAAACTGAAGCCTCAGGAGACAAAGTCACATGCCCAAGGTCCTCCGACCAGGCAACCTAGGTCCTACAATGGTTAACTGACCTGGGCAACAGCAGGGTGGAGTCCGGCCAGGGCAGCACATTCCTCTGACCAGTGTCTTCAATTGGTGCCTGGCCCCCAGGCATCTGCTCAGGATGCCCCTCCCAATTCCAGAGAAAGAAGCTGGCTGGCTGGTTTTGGTTTCATTTCCTGATTCCAGGACTGCAGGGGCGGGCCCAGGGTCTATGGATGAGGTCACCTCCGGAGCCCAAGGGAAGAGGGAAGTCCAGCTGCCAGACTCCTTCCAGGGGCAAGGGTGGGAGGAAAAGTGACTTAGAGAGACCTGGGATCCTTCCCAACAGGGCCCACAGTCTGGTGGTGTAGGAAGGCAGGAAACAAGCAAACAGACAAACAAAAGAATTCCCAAAAGAAAGTAGGGTCCAGAATAGAATGTATTGAGGCGGCAAGGGGACTGTTGATGACTGAGCTGGTCAGGAAGGGTTTCTTTGAGGAGGTGGCGTTTGAGTTGAGTCGTGAGGGATGAAAAGAAGAGCATTCCAGGCAGAGGCCATAGCACGTGCAAAGGCCCTGAGGCAGGACTGTGCCTGGCCTGTTGGAGAAGCAGCAAGGAGCCCTCTGTGGCTGGAGCAGAGTGAGCCAGAGGGAGAGAAGGGGGAGTGTGCGCAGGGAGGGGACAGGGACCAATTGTGCAGGGCCTTGTGGGCCTTGAGGAGAACTTGGGCTTGTTCTGAGATACTGCAATGTTTGCCAGGGAGAGGTTTTCTTATGAGTTGATGGGGACCCTGGGGCTCATGGAGGGCAGGGTCTAGTATCATCACCTGGCCTTCTGGCGGCCCCACTAGATCCTTGATATGAGCTGGGGTGGAAAAGGCTCACTCCCTGGGCAAGACGGAAAAGGGAAGTTGTGGGTGTAAATGGCGTGTCTGTAGCGGGCAGCTTTTCTGGGGACCCCCAAAGCACCCTTTAAACCTGCTGTGTGACCTCAGGCTTTCTGTGCTTTAGTTTCCCCACCTGTCAGGGGCAACTTCAGGGAGCCCTGAGTTGACATGGGGCGACTCCGTTCTTGCTCCCTCTTATTTCCTAATCATACATCCTGGTCCTGCCTGCTCACCTCTTACTGTGTGTGATCTCAGACCAGTCCAGCCTATTCTGTGTCCCCATTAGGCAAAAGGGACATACTGCTTGGACTGGTGGGTGGAGGCCTGGCCCCTCCGACCTGTTTGGTTGTGTGGCTTCTGAGGGATCCCAGTTACCCCATTTGTCACAGGCACCATAAGCCTGGGGCGCTCTTGGCTGCTGATCCCACATACCCCACTGTGTGACTTTGGGAGGATCTGTTGCCCTTTCTGTGTCACTGTTTCCTTCCCACCGGGTCATACCCCAGGGAGCCCTGGGCCACCGCGGAAAGGTCCGGCGATGTGACCTCTCCCTGTTCTGCCCATCTACAGGCACCACCTGCGTCCTGCTCTCCTTCCCCTTCATCTTCAGCCCCTGCCTGGGCTGCGGGGCGGCCACGCCTGAGTGGGCTGCCCTCCTCTACTACGGGCCTTTCATTGTCATCTTCCAGTTTGGCTGGGCTGCTACGCAGATTGCCCACCTCAGCCTTATCCCTGAGCTCGTCACCAATGACCATGAGAAGGTGGAGCTCACGGCTCTCAGGTACCACCTTGGTGGGGCAGGATGGGGCGGGCACACACACAGCAGGTGAGGGCACGGGACCTGGGGCCACACTCTCTGTGTGGTCTCTGCTTGGCTGTGTGGCTCTGAGACTCTCAGCCCTGGCTTATTCCCCTGTAATGTAGCATATCAGTCACCTGCTGCTGCTGCTTGCATAAATGACCACAAAGCAGCTTCAGACAGCATGCAACATGCCATGGTTTTGGTGGGTTAAGAGGCTGTCTCAGCTTACCTGGGTTTCTGGCTTCAGTGTCAGTCTCGAGGCTTCAGTCATCATTGGCCAGCGCTGGTCTCATCTGAGGCTTGGGAATCCCTCCTCCCTGCTCATGTAGTCGGTGGCAGAATTCACCTTCCTGCAGATGTAGAGCTCATGGTGTCTTGCTGATTCTTTGTCACTGGCAGGAGAGTGAGATCCCAGGGATGGCCTAAGCCCTTTCTCTAAGAATCACCTGAATGGGTCAGACCGACCCAGGATAACCTCCTTTAATGGCACCTGCAAAATCCCTTCACCTGTGCTGCAGAAGTTGCCTAAAGTATGGGAATGACCTCCCATCATATTCATAGATCTCATCCCCAAGGCGGCTGCGGGTGGGTTGTTAGGCAAGGCAGGACCGGGGTGTGGGGGTCTCCAGGGCCATATTAAAATCCTGCCTGCCACAAGTGGGCATTGGCACCCAGCTTGCTTGAGGAGGTTATTCTGGCTTTGAAGCTCATATGAGCATTTATGGGGTGCTTGCTGTAGACCAGGCACAGTTCTAGGCCCTTCACACAACAAACCCAGGTTGTCACGTGCCGAGGGTCACATACCTGTGGGACATGTGAAATAGGAAAAAGGTACAGGAGATGGCAGTTCCAGGCAGAAGGGAGAGCACATGTGAGGATGACCAGTGTTGCTGGAGCTCAAAGAACCCAGCTGACAGTTGACACCCAGGGACTGAGTGTTACTCTTGCTATTAGGGTAGTGTCTTTGTCGAGAGTCCTGCCTGTCTCCAGCTCAGCCTTTTTGCCCTGGTCTGGTCTCCCCCTCACCCCCGCCTTTGAGTTCCCCATTATGACTGAGAGCTGCAGGCACTAACGGCAGGGGTTGGTTGCTCAATGCCTGGGCCCCCAGGGCCCTGGATGATAGAGGACAGGCTACATCAGGCCAAACTCTGCTGTGCTTTCTACTGCAAGTGCTTCATTGCCAGCCTCACGCTATCTTCAGTGTGGCTTCTGGGATTAGTCTTGTTCTCACTTTTAGAAAGGGAAACCAAGTCCTGGTGAGATCCAGAGGCTGCCCCTCCCCGGCCCTTCCCAGCTCCTGGAAGAGACATCACTGCAGAGCTGCAGGCAGGAGCAGACCCAGATGAATCTAGACCTTGCTCTGCTGGAGCCCAGGATCTAGGTACCAAGAATTCCAGAATCCTGGCTCCTGAACATCTAGAGTTCTCAGACTTGGATTGCAGCCCTGACTGGCCCTGCTGAGTCTCTGCATTCCAGACCCCCTGCCCCCATCATGGTGGTTGAGGTCAGAGTTGTAAATCATCAGATAACGTGCAGGCTGGGGAAGCTGGGGCTCATGAGGGCTTCCCTGGGGCCACCCAAGGTTTGGTGGCTGAAATCACCCATCAGCCAGAAGTTCCCCAGGCACCACAAGCAGCTCTGACTGTTGGCTGCCTGGGGAGGAAGTGGCCAGGTTGTTTCTTGGGCTGCTATGCTAAGGCCTGTCCTGTCCTGCCCTGCCAGGTACGCCTTCACTGTGGTGGCCAACATCACCGTCTATGGTGCTGCCTGGCTCCTGCTCCACCTGCAGACCTCTCCACATATGGGGCACATGCAGGATGTCAGTGACCAGCTGGGGGTGCAAGATGTGCCAGTGTTTCGGGTGAGTCGGGGCTGGGATGGGGGGCAAGGATGCTGCTGGCAGGATGGGACATCCCCCCCTGCCCCCGTTCTGAACTTCGGACTTGGACTGTGAGAGCCACTGTTGACCCCTCTCCTGCTGGATCCTCAGAACCTCTCCCTGTTGGTGGTGGGCATTGGAGCCATCTTCTCACTGCTGTTTCACCTGGGCACCAGGGAAGGGCCCCGGCAGCTGGCAGAGGAGCCAGATGAACACAGCCCCCTGCTGGCCCCCACCACAGCCCGCACCTTGCTGCTCTGGAAAGACTGGCTCCGGCAGCCGGCCTTTTACCAGGTATGTCATGGGGACAGAGCAGGCTGCAGTGGATGCCCGTCTCCCACTTGGCCCTTAGCCTGTGGGGCGGCAGGCAGGGATGTCCAATAGATGAGCCAACAGTGGATTTTTCTATTCCTCAGGCAGTGCAGACATTGCTAATCAATTACTACTCTCTTCACCTGACCAGCTGTGGTCACTACCAGTGGATCCGATGGTAGCTGTGGCTAGACTCCCCTCCCCCCTGTCCCCTGCTGGTGGGAGTAGAGAAGGGCCCTGCCTGCTCCCTGAATCAGTCCCTGTCTGCCCATAGGTGGGCTTGCTGTACATGAGCACGAGGCTCATTGTGAACCTGTCCCAGACATACATGGCCATGTACCTCACCTACTCCCTCAACCTGCCCAAGGTGAGCTGGGGTGGGCCCGGGCTGTGGCAGGGGGGCCCTGAGCCTGAGGAGCCCCACCTGACACACCCTTGCCCACTCTGCCCCAACAGAAGTTCATCGCCACCATCCCATTGGTGATGTATCTCAGTGGTTTCTTCTCCTCCTTCCTCATGAAACCTGTCAACAAGTGGATTGGGAGGAATGTGAGTGCATGGGTCAGTGAGGGGGGTGGGCAGCCACAGGCAAGAACCCTCAGAACTCAGATTCACAGAACCCAGGAGATTCCATACCTTAGCCTCCATACTTTGTAGATGCCCTGTCTCTCAAACCCACGTTCTAGAATCCTGGTTTCTAAATGTCTTGGGGCTGCAGAGCTCTAGAAATTTCTGTGCCAGCCAGTATGCCAGCCAGGGTGGCTACTGAATACTTGAAATTCAATATTTCAGGGTGGCAGGCATAACTGAAGAACTGAGTGTTTTTATATTTTGATTTGCACTTAAGATGTAGATAGCCACATTTCTAGAATGTCAGCTCTCTGATGAGGTCAGAGCTGGGGATTCCTTAGGGATGGTCCAACTTGATCTCCTCACTCTCTGGGGTCAGGGGCTGGGGGTCAGAGGATTGATGAGCAGAGAGGGCAAGCTCCAGGCAGGAGCTGCCCAGTGAGGTGGGCCTGATGCTGGTCTCCCCTGCAGATGACCTACTTCGTGGGCCTCCTGGTAATCCTGGTCTTTGCGGCCTGGGTGGCGCTGGCAGACGAGCTGGGCATGGCGGTGTATGCAGCAGCGGTGCTGCTGGGCATGGGCTGTGCCACCATCCTTGTCACCTCGCTGGCCATGACAGCTGACCTCATTGGTCCCCACACGGTAGGGCTGGTGGGCAGGGCTGCTGGGGGACCAGGGCCCAGGCCATGGGTATTGATGTCCCTGCCTGTGTCCCCCCAGCACAGCGGAGCCTTTGTGTATGGTGCCATGAGCTTCTCGGATAAGGTGGCCAACGGGCTGGCAGTCATGGTCATTCAGAGCCTGCATCCCTGTTCGTGAGTGTGACTCATTTGTTAGTTCACTTATTAACAAGAGTGCACTGAGTGTGCGCTGTGTGCTGGGCACTGCTCCAGGTCTAGGGATTCGGAGCAGACAAGAGATCCCACCGCGGTGAGACTTGGTCCTTTCTGACCTACGACACTCAACAAATTTATTCAACAAATCCCGGGTCTATTGTGTGACGATATTGAGGACACACCATTCAGGTGTACTGGGGGAATCTGAGTGGGCAGTGCTACAGGGGAGCTGGAATCTGTGCCACTCAGACACTCAGAACCTGGAGTTTCAGACCTGGATGATTCTAGACCACCGAGTTCTCACCTTATAGAAGCCCAGGGTCTGGAAAGCACAAGCTGCCTGGTCCTCTGTTGTCATGGAGCTGGGGGTAATACCAGCCATGTTAATCACAGGAGTACGTGTGTGATCCAGACCAGAGGCCAGGGGTGTGAAGGACACCACATGTGGAGCCCTGACTGGTGCAGGAGGTTAGGGAGGGCTTCCTTGAAATGATGATACTGGTCCCAAGACCTGGTGGATACCAGGGAGTTTTAGGCAAATGGGGAGAAACAGCCAGTGCAAAGGCCCTGGAGTAGGGCCAGGCCTGGTGTGTTGGAAGAACAGGGTAGACGCCCGTGTGGCTGGAGCAGAGGGAGGGAAGAGTGTGGGGAGAGGCTTAAGGCAAGTTGTGCGGGGCCTCGTGGAGAACTTGGGCTTTTACCTCAAGGGAGCAGGGAGCCCTTGAGGGCTGTGGGCAAACGAGGGGAGGCCTGACTCAGGTGCTCACGGTGTCCTCTCATGGTTGTGTCCAGGAGGACAGTACGTGGAGGGTGGGGATGAGGCGGAAGCATCTGTACTGGTCCAGGTGAGTGATGATAGGCCGGACCAGGTGCAGGTAGAGAGGGGAGCAGTGGGCAGGGTCAGGATAGACTCTGAAGGCAGAGCTGGCCGTATTGGCTGAAGTGCTAGATGTGGGAGGAAAAAGGGTTGAGGGTGACCCCCAGGTTCTGGCCTGAATGCTGGGAAAGACGGGGCTGCCCAAGGCTGTGGGAGGAGGGGAGGGCCAGGCTGAGGCTGGAGGGTCTCCGCAAGTGCCCACTCCACCTGCTCTGCCCTCCCCCTCCCCTAGCTCGGAGCTCTGCTGCAGGGCCTGCGTGGGCTTCTACCACTGGGTGATGGTGGCTGTGACAGGTGGCGTAGGCGTGGCCGCCACCCTCTCTTTGTGCAGTCTTCTCATCTGGCCGATCCGTCTGCGGAGCTGTGAGTTACAACCTCCACCATTCCCAACCTGGCCATGGGTGGGGGTGCTGGGCCAGGTCCCATGCTCACTTACCCCACCCCTGCCCCTCTCTTGCAGGAGCCCCTGGAGTCCAACCCTGACATCCCCCTGTGGCCTCCTGCCCTACGCCAATGAGCTGCAACTGTGCACATTCCATCCCCTGCTCCCACGGTCCCCAACCCTCCCCTTCCTTGCCTGGCTGCAGGGACGGTGGGTGAGGACAGGATGGGCTGGGCCCCAGCGGCTCGTCTGTGCTGGGCTGAGACACCTAGCCCGGCCCTCTGGTATCCAGGGGCCTGTGGGTCCTCATGGGCTTGGGGGTACCCAAGCCAAACTCTAATGGATGACTCGGGGTGCCCTAAGTTGCATGGGGGCAGGTTGTGAAGGTCCTGGGGCCCAGGGCCTGCCCCAAGCTCAGCCCCAGCTCCACCTCACCGCTGGCATAGCTGGGGTCCCCAGGGCGCCGCTGACAGTGAATAAAGGGCCGCTCACGGTGAGGATGGGCCTCGGCTGCCCGCCTGGCTCCGGAATGGAGAGCAGCAGGGGCCCCTGCCCTGGCCCTCGGGCTGGAACTCCCTTTACCTGACTGATCAGTGCCCCGGTCCCCAGATGTGGACAGACACCCAGGGAAAGGTGCAGTGTCCCCACAGAGGGACACTCTTTATCAGACAGCAGATGTGTAGATGGGTTGGGTCTGCTGGCCAGTGGATGGGCAGTAGGGTTCCAGGTTCCACTGCCGGTAGTTCTGGGTCGTGTAGCTCGGACGCTGCAGCGCCGACAGGTAGGGCACGTAGTCTGATGTCCGCCCCCAAGGCTCCACCCCGTATTGCTGCCTGTTGACCACTGTAGGGCAGGACTCAGGTCACTTCGCGGCTCCAGCTTCCTGGACCCAATTTTGCCTCCATCCCTCGACCCCGGTGATGCCAGCCTCACCATATTCCTTGCCCCAGAGGGGCTTGTCTTTCCACAGCATCGTCCCCCACCGCGTGCTGGGGGCCCTGTACTGGGCGGGCACGATGGGGTCATACCAGGCAGTTTCCCGGAGGTGCTGGGTGTAAGCTGCAGGGAGAGTGGGGGAGGTGGTCATCTCTCGTCCTCGCCCTCCCCTTGGGGCTGGTCAAGGCAGGTGGCCAGGCACTCACCTGAAGGCATGCTGTGCTTCTGGTGGCTGTAGCATCCATGCCAGTGGGCATAAGCCTCCCGGTAGGGGCTGTCCCTGGCCCTTGGTAGCGTGTACCAGGCTTCGCAGAAATCCGAGTTGGTTAGGCCAGTATAGCACAGCTGGCTGGCCGAGTCACATCCCATGGGTGTGTAGGCCCAGCGCACTGCCTGCTTGATAGCTGGTGGCCAGCGGGGCCCCTCCAGGGACAGGTAGTCATCACTAGGGGTCAGAGACAGAGGCTAAGCCTGTGGCTGTCCCCTGCCCCTTTCTGGGCCACAGCTTGTCTCTAGAATGGGCTGTTGACCCTCACTGCCACGCATTGCAGCAAGGAGGGTACAAGGGTCTGGCCCACAGTGTGGAGGGCCTGCCTCCATCTCCACCTGGTTGTGTGTCTCAGCACTGGACATTTCCTCCTCTCTGCCACACCTTCCCCAGGACCCTCACTAAACCTTTCACTTTTTCTTCTCTTCCCCCTGGGGATACCAGGAAGGGGAAATATGAAATCTCTGGCCATCCCTGGGGTCCTATGTCCTTGTCCAGCCTCCCAGATGCTGACTCCTTCCAGGAAGCCCCTTGGCCTGGAGGCACAGCAGGATGAAGTGTGCTAAGTGGCTCAGGGAGAGCCGGTGGGGGTGTCCAGGTTCCTGGAAAGAGCCTTGCGGGGGGGAGGGGGACCTTTGTGTTATCACCAGCTGGGAGGATGAGCTTACATTTAAAGAATAAACTATGTAGCTACACATTTGTGCCTGTTTCAGGGGTCATCTCTGGTGCGAGTCTTTAGACTAAGAGCACAAGGAGGGCTTCCCCAAGGAGAGGAGGTGGTTGGCCCACACCAGGTGAAGGGCGTGGCTGTGTAAAGGCCCTGGGGCGGCAGAGCACAGTTTAAGAAATAATGAGGCTATAGTGCAGAGAAGTTAGTGAAAATATGCTAACGATAGCAAAAATCAAGCTGCAATGAAGTACCATTAAAACTAAACATAGCCCTGGCTGGTGTGGCTCAGTGGATTGAGCACCAGCCTGTGAACTGAAAGACCACCAGTTCAATCCCCCATCAGGGCACATGCTTGGGTTGCAGGCTAGATTCCCAATTGGGGGCATTATGCAAGAAACAAATGGTCAATATATCTATCACTCAATGATGTTTCTCTGTTTCCCTCCCTTCTCTCTAAAAACAGAAGTAAAATCTTAAAAAAAAAAAAACAAAAAAAAAACCGAAAGCTGTTCACATGAAACTGCAGGGAAACTTGCTTAAGCAGAACCCTCAAATGGCAATTCCTTTTGGAATGTATCCTGGTAGCACCACTGCCTGAGAGACAAAGACGTGCACGTGCTCTGACCTGGTGAGCTTGCTCCTGGAAACTCACCTGTGAACGAGGTTGGCTGCCCAAGATAGCCCCGGAAGGGCCACTGACGAAACGCTTTTCTCTCTGCCATACACAGAGGACCAGGCTAAGTTTTCACTCCAGGAGATTTGATCAGAGCATCCAAAGGAGAAACACACAGCTCATAAAATGTGGGACCTGCCCGGTCAGTTCTGGGACATCAGTCTCAGGAACCTGATGCAGAATGGATTTGCCACCCAAAGGGGATTTTAAGATCATCTGGGGTGCCCCACCCTTTTTAAAACAAAGATTTATGAACTGCAAGACGCACAAGGTTTATAATGGACACTGAGCATCCCCCAGCCACCAGCCTGAACAGGCCGCACTCCGCTTTCTCCCGCCTTCCAGAGCGCACAGTGCCTTTGTGGGTCCCTACTAGTACAGAAACGTGGCAACTTGTGCTCCGTTTCACATCCGTTTTTTTTTCTCTAATTTTCTTGGAAATGGAGTGGCACAAAGGGCACTCAGTCATCTGTTTTTTTATAGCTGCAGAGTAATAACTTACTGAAACAGTCACTTATAAATGGATACTCTACTGGGTTGAGTGTCCCCCAGAGTTCACCACGTCCACATGGAACCTCAGAATGTGACCTTATTTGGAAAGAGGATCTTAGGTAGAATTCATTAAGATGAGGTCATAGTGGGGTACAGTGGGCCCTGGTGTCCTTGTAAGCAGAGGGGAACCTGGACACACACAGGGGAGATCGATGGAGGCATCGGTGGGGTGATGTGTCTACAAGCCAAGGGACACCAAGAATTACCAGTAAATCACCAGAATCTGGAAGAACATGGGGCAGATTCTCCCTCATAGTCTCAGAAGGAACTATCCCTGCTGACACCCTGATCTTTGTACTTTTGGCCTCCAAACTGAGGTAGAATCAATTTCTGGCGTTGAAGCTGCCCAGTGTGTGGAGTTCCGCTACAGCAGTCCCAGGCAACTCCCGAGTACCTAGTTTCTCTGTTTGCTGCATGGGTGTGTGTGGTGCCCACAGTGAGCGATCATGTGTGACCTGCGCACACCCTTCCCGTCTCCAAGACTGCCTTGCTCTGATCACTTGGTGTGGAAGAGGGTACCCAGGGGCAGGTGGGTGGGATGAGATGCAAGGATCAGACAACTGGAGGTGCAGCACCCAGTGCCTTTTATGAATTATGAGTGACACTCAGAAGCCAAGCCAAAATCCAGAGGGACCGTGTCTGGACACAGGGTGGTACTGACCTGTAGAGAGGTGCTGGGAAGTCCACTTCGAGGGTCCCCTGGGGGACACAGGGCTGGGTAGCCGCCTGCATCAGGGTCTGCATGTCTGCCTCTGGGTTCCTGGGCACTCCTGCCTAGGCCTGTGAGGCCATTGTTGACAGCAACTGTGACAGCACGGCCATCCTCTGTGTCCTGGCAATGCTGCTGGTGGCCCTGGCTCCTGGCCAGACCACTCCTCATGCCCCAGCTGAGAGGCTGAAGGAAAGAGGTGGGGCCACACCTGGGTGGCTCAGGGCTCAGCACTTCCCTGGCCCCTTACCCATATCCCCACATGAACCAAATGAAGCTTCTGAATTTCACTTCCATATCCTCAGCTCCACCTTTCCAGGTGGCTTAGGCAGGGACCTGCCAGTCCTCAACCCCTCCCTTTTCTTCACCCCACCGGCATCCAGTCCTTCACCTGTTTCCAAAATACACCAGATGAAAAACCTGCAAACAAACGTTCCCAGCAGCATGATTCAAAATAACCAGAAGGGAGAAACAACCCAAATGTCCATCCACACAGAGTATCAGCCATGAAAAGGAGTGAAGCTGACACTCGCTACAACGTGGGTGGACCTTGAACACATGACGTTCAGTGAGAGAAGCCACACACAAAAGGCCCCCGAGTGTGTGAAACCATTCATGTGAAATGTCCAGAACAGGCAAATCCAGAGACAAAGTGAGTTCATGGTTGCCAGGGGCTGGGGGTAACTGGTAACAAAGCTGGTTTTTCTTTTTTTCTTTTTTTAAAAAAAGTTATTTGACGTCCTAATAATTTTTAAGATTTTATTTATTCATTTTTAGAGAGGGGGAGAGAGGGAGGAAGAAACATCAATGTGTGGATGCTTCTCACACGCCCCGTACTGGGGACCTGGCCCGCAACCCAGCCATGTGCCCCGACTGGGAATCCAACCTGAGACCCTTTGGTTCGCAGGCCCTGCACTCAATCCATAGAGCCACATCAGCCAGGGTGGGTTTTCTTTTTGGGGTGATAGAAATGTTCTAGTATTAGAAGTACTCTTTGCACAACACTGTGCATGCACCAAATGTCACTGAATTGCTCAGCGTAAGATGGTAAGCTGTAAGTTATGCACATTTTACCACTATTTAAAAAAAATAAAATCCAAAATCTGCCCTCCATTCACCACCTCTATCTGGTCCAGGCCAGGCACTCCACCAGCCCAGCAGAACCTCCTCTGTGGCCTCTCTGTGCCCCTGCACCAACGGCCAGGCCTCCACACAGCAATCTTTTCCCCTCAACTCAGCAACACGGCTCCCACCTCCCTCAGGGTGGGGACCCAGGTCCTTTCAACAGCCCATGAACCCCTGCATGACCTGCTCAGGCCACTCCATGCCCTCACCTCCTCCCTCTCTCCCCTGACTCACTCCACTCCAGCCACATAGGTCTCCTCACTGTTCATCCAACACATCAGGGCCTGTACCCAGGACCTTTGCACAGGCAGTGCCTGCTGCCTGGAAAGTCCTCTGCCCAGGTGTCTCCTGCTCTTCTTCAAGCCCTTGCTCCAGCATCAGGGTTGCTGCAAGCCCTGGATTCAAAACCGTCCCTTCCCAAAGCCGCCTACCTCCGTCACATAGCACACAGCTCCCTCATACCCAAGAGAAGCTCCAGCAGGGCAAATCTTGGGATATGGTCTGTTTTGTTGTCCCTAGTGCCTAGGACAGGGGCCTTTACCTGGAGGGAAGGGCCTGGGGTGCTCCACCAGTCCTGAGCTGCTGCAAGGTCCACTGGTCTCTCACTGCTGCACTGGCCTCTGCCTCACCCATACTCCCTTTCCTGAAAAAGCTACATTCAATGATCATAGGACATGACAGACCTTACCCCACCCCACCCCACCCCTCAACCTTGCCCAACTGCGGACGCTGGGTGGGTGATACCCCCACTGCTAGCTTTGGTCCTGTTACATAAAATGGCAGCACCTGCCCCGCCTGAGGGCTCCCGTGCAACCAGCAGCCCCAACTGGCCCTCCCTCCCCTGCCCTTGCTCACTGCACATGGAGATCACCACCCCTGCCCTGTGGCACCTCTTCCCCAGCTGGGCTGCAGGGACTGGGGTAAAGGCACATCCTCCTCACCCCCACTAGACCACGAAGTCAAGGACACTGGTATCCCTCAGACAGCTCTCCTAGGGCAAGCCACTCACCAGGGCTGGTCTGGGGCCCTGAGAGTGTGCAGACTGGAGCTGTCAGCCACCCCAGCTAGGAGCCAGACAGATGGACAGCCAGTCCCAGCCGTGCATGAGCCCACAGCTGGTTTAATGACAACGGTACTGCATCAGATGAGAAACAAGGTTTGCTCTGCAGTCCACCAGACTCACAGGCGGGGGCACACGTATTTTACACCCTGTTGTTTTGACTCCCAGGCATGGGTCCTTCACACAGAGCCAGCTTATGGGCTCTTTGGCAGCTGCACTGGGTGAGGGTGTGGTAGAAAAAGGATCGTTTTCTTATTAAAAAAAAAAAAAAAAAAGGAATCCAACAAAAACATCGACCAAGCGAAATACACACATCTATGTACAATGTCCTTGCCTGAGGCTGTGGCAGGCAGATGCTGGGAAGGCAGGGGAGGCAGGGTCTCACCCTTCCTACAAGTCAAGCAGGTTCGGCTGATCACCCCTCCTAAATGAAGGTTTTAAAAGCTGAGATTCCTGTTAACCCCAGGCATAGTAGGTGGGCTGTGCCTTCCCCAGCTAACCTTAAACATTTCTGGGACCCATCTACAAAACACAAACCAAACCAAAGAAAAGTCACAAGTACATATATACACATGCACACACGTGGCTGACTGCAGGGGCGGGGGGAGAACGGAGGAGTGGGGCCTTGAAGCAGAGCCAGGGTGATCCCCCACCCCACTCCACAACTGGGTCCACCTCTCTCCCTCCAATTTCTCCAAGTATGGGAATGAGGTGGTGTCCAGGTACAGCTTGGGCAGAGGACAACAGGGTTGGGGCAGGGTCTGGGAAAATCCGGGAAGCTTCTGGGAGGCCAGTGGGCGCCCCCTCCCTGGCTTCCTCATGGCCATGGGCACACAGACAGGACACAATGGGAAGACCTGATGGAAAAGGAGGGTGAGGCACCACTCTTAGGTCACCTGGATCTGTACAGAACAAGGTGCAGGAACTACAGTCCCGCGGGTGGTAGAACTCAGCTGTGACCCCGCTAGTGACAAGGACAGTTCAGGGTCAGGGCAAACACATGATGGCAAGTGGACCCAACTTCAGCGTTCCTCGAACAAGTTCATCTCGAGATGACCTCCTCTGGTGCAGAGCCTGCCTGGGGCCTGCTCCTGACACCCGGCCCCTAGCAAAGTCACCAGGATGGCTGCTGGCACAGGGACAGCAGAGGCGGCCACAGACAGACCTATCAGGAGCGTCTTGTCGATCCATGGGCTGACCTGAACCGTCCTACTGCTGGGCCCTTCCCTGGCTGACCGGCTTGGCATCCAGCTGTCTGTCCTGTCGCAGGCGTGGGTGGTTGCAGTAGTGGTGAACCCATGCTTCTGAGAAGAGCATGCAGCCCAACACGGTGGGGACGGACACAAAGGGAAGCAGGCAGGGGTCCGGAGAGGCGTCCATCCCCATCCTAGTGCCAGAGCTGGGGCCACAGAGCTGCCCAGTGTGGAGGGAGCTGGAGCCCCCATGCCTGCTGGTGCCCGACCGCATCCCTGCCCCAAACATCTCCGACAGGGTTCGCAATCAGGCTTTAATGAGAATCTTCAGGGTCTCTCTGGGCCCGGCTTCCCGCCCACCCCGGCTGCGTCCTCCGGGGACATGTGCAGGGAGGGAGGGTCATGCATGTGATGACAGGTGGTGCTCCTCTGCCCTGATGGCTTGGCCCATGGTTTACCGGATTCTGGTGAAGAGGTTGAGAACGGACACAGATTCCTGCGGGGCACATAGGAGGGAAAGCTGAGCCCGTGGCTGGAGGGAAACATGCTTCGGGCCAGAGGAGGAGCATGAGTGGGCACCACTGTTCCCTGGCTCAGGGTGCAGAGTGATGCAGGAGTAGAGACGGGGGCACATGGGTTCCGGGGGAAGTTATAGCAGAGTCTGGTGAACAGGGCTGCTCAGGTGGCGGTGGGGACAGCCCCCAGGATAGGCTGAGGGGACGCGCGTGGGTAAAACACCTGGCGCTGATACCGACCCACTTTACCTTTGTTGAACGGGTTTTGCTAAAGACATTCCAGAACCTCAGGGTTTCGTCTCCAGCACCAGTGACGATGGCCTCTCCATCAGGGGACATGGCCTGTGGGAGGAGACCCTCATTGTACTTGTGCCCTGCAGTTGGGCCTAGGGACGGAGTCAATGATGGGAGTATACAGGAGGGCTGGGTTCCCACCAAAGCCAAAAGCACAGGACGGCCCCACACCCACCCAGGAGGGTAGCTCTACTCTGTGCGCTCAGGCAAAGAATACAACAGTTAAGCACATAACAGTTCTTCTGGAAATAAAGAAAAACCCTTGAGGAGGGACTGCGCTTGAGGAGGGGCTCCTGCCCACAGGCACAAGCAAATAGCAATCTAGTGAACTGTTCTCAAGAGATTTTCTGAGCAGCTGACTGGGGTTTAACTGTGCTTCCTCATACATATATTTTGGTAAAAATAAACTAATGTGTAGAGATTCCCAGGAGGGCAGAGCTGCCCTGCCTCACAGGACTGGGGAGTTCAGGAAAGTAGATTCAAAGTGATGACACAACCAAGGTTTGAAAGCAGAACAAACCTGCCCTGCTGTTGGGTCCAGACACGGGCGCTGACCTAAGTGGCCCTGCCCCCCTACCTCGGAGACCCAGGCGGGGGAGGCCGCCAGCTAGATCTGCTCCCTGCCTTCCTGGGGGTCTGGTGCTGAGTCTGGAACCTGCCAGTGCACACTCACCAGGTATAGAACCCGGTAGGAGTGCCCAGTCAACTTGGCCACCTGGGTCAGGGATGGGTACTTCCAGACCAGGATCTGGTTCTGTGAATAGCCGTGCGTGCTCACCTGGGGGATGGAGAGAGTACTGTCAAAACCTGAGGCTTGCTTCCCGTGACCCCAGGGTTCATACAAAAAGCCCGTCTACTACCCAATGCAACCACCAACAAGCAAAGACACCCGGACTCGCCCAGCCCCTTGCCCCCAAACTCTGGTGGATGAGTGGAGGGTGACAGAGCTCCACTGTACCCAAAGCTCAGCCAGCCCTCCTGGTGGTCAGCAGGCATGGGTGCCTGGACTTCCAGACTGAGATCTGGTTCTGTGACCCGGGTGGCAGGGGTCTGGCTTCA